CTCTTTGCATCCCTCTGGACACTCCATCCACCGGAGGTTGACTGCTGGCAACTTACGAGAGGTTCAAACCATGACATCTTAAGCCACTGGGCATTTTGTCAACCATGCGCGGCGGAAACGGTGAAACCGTCGCCAATTTGCGAACGTTGTACAACGCACGCGCAAAACTCCGCGAAGAAATGCTTGCTGGCCGATCGCCCATACAAGCGCTTATTGATAACTTGCGGGAAAGCGAGTTTATCTATCATGTTGATTGTGACGGGACCGGAGCCGTCACTGCGCTTTTTTTGCGCATCCAGAAAGCGTTCAGCTAGCAAAGCACTACCATCATGTCGCATTGATGGACTGTACATACATGACGAACAAGTACCGGCTTCTCCTCCTTCATGTGATCGGCATGACAAGCTTTGATAGCCAGTTCTTCAGTGTCCCCCAGGAGGAGAAGAAGAAGGATTACTTGTGGGCCATAGCAAAGCTTCTTGCCATCTGGACACCTGATGCGCGCCCGAAGGTTATCGTCACTGATAAGGAACTGGCATTGATGGGTGCGCTAGATGAAGTGATGGCTGGTTCGGCCAACATACTGTGCACATGGCACATCAACAAAAATGTCCTAGCCAAATGCAAACGAATGTTTTCCTCTGGAGAGGAGTGGGACGAGTTCATTAGTCAGTGGAACTGCTTGATATCATCGAGCAGTGTTGATGAATATGAAAGGCAATGGAAGAAATTTTGCACTTCAATTTCAGCATCAGCCGAACGCTCTCGACTATCTATCGTCACGTGGCTAATCCACAAAGAGCGGTTCATCAATGCGTGGACATCAAAACACATGCATTTTGGCAATACTTCAACATCGCGCGTGGAGGGCTCCCACGCATACATAAAAAAGTTCTTGCAGACATCGACAGGGGATCTCCTAACAATGGTGAGCAAAATCACCATTGCCCTTAAACACCAGCTGAAGGCACAGCCAGGAGCAATTGCACCGTTTAATTGCATTACCTTCGGTGTTTGCGGCAGTTTCTGGAAAAATCTCCGTTCTCGCGCTGAAGATAGCGCTTG